CTGGCTTTCAATGTGATGGTGTAATCTGGAATTGTCATCTCGCTGTTGCTTATTTTCCTTGCAATTTGGTATCGGAGCTAGTTCATATTGCGCTTCATTGGTTCTTCGCAATAGCTATTGGTGCTTCGCAGGAGGTGTGGGGCAGTGATAAGGCATTGGCGTTGAACATTAGGCGGCCCAGGGTAGAGTGGGCGCGCCAGGGAGCTATGTGGTGACATACGGGGTGTATGCTGGATGACGAGAGCTCGCTGATGTGGCATACTAAGCCGAGGTGGAACCACATTCTGCTGTTGGTTGTGCCGAGGCAAGGACCGGTCATCATAATTGCACATCAGGTTGCCGGTGAGAAATCTGTGGTTGGGGGCAGCATTTATGAGGTACGTTGCTCTCTTCCTTATCTACCCTCTTCGTTACTTCTTACCGTGAGGAAGTGAGTTCTGTCTTGAGAGTCCTCTCGATGTGAGGTGTCGCAAGCGCTCAACCTTGAGAGTCGACATTCTTCCTGGGCAGCAAGCTGGTGGGAGATGGGCGAAGCCTCTGAAGGGCCCTGGACGAAGCACTCGGGTCACGGTCACCATGCCAACCCGTTGGGACTAGTACACGCATGCTTTGCTGCAAGTCCTTGGTACTGTTGCTTGCGCAATAGAGGTCATGCAGGGCATGCCAGCCCTTTGGACAGACACTTACCAGACCGTCTTTAAATATTTCTGGCTGTGGACTTGGTGTTGGAACTGGCTGTGATCGTCGTCCTGTCTGCGACGTTAAATAATTATTAAGGAGATGGGGGCTCTCCTTAAATCCCTCCTGATCAGCCAGATCAAACCAAGTGGAAGGCTCGTTGCATGCTAGGATAAATAAAGTGCAGGGGCTGGCAGGTTCGGCGTTTGACTTGGGGCACAGGGGTGGGCCGGATTGCACACCTTCAGACACGCTGCTCAACCAGAGGCTCAAGACGTTGACACAAAGCGACCACTCAAGAAGGATACAGGGGGAGGGGGGATTCTGGTAACAATTCATAGTGGCTATAATTAGACACTCTGCCATCCAGTGTACATCTCCAACAGGAGATGTTATTTCTGTTTTGATTATTTAGTTGTTACAGGCTTGTCTAACAAGTGACAGACAGCTACAGACAGACTAGGTCTTTGCTGCAATGCTATCTGTATTAGAGTAATCTAAAAATAGATTTAATATGTATCTTGTAGGACCTGACATTAGTTGTAACCACATCACCTAACTGTTTTGTTCAGGCCGACCGAAAACAATTGTGTATCATATGCGGTTGTGTGTCACGCTAAGGTAGGATTCAGTGTGGATTCTAGTTTAGATCACACACACTGTAGCTCATGAGTGGAGACAGCAGTGAGGAGGAGGGAAGGCTAGTGCAACCCTTTAGGATCACACGGAGAACCGCTCTTAGTCAACCAATCACTTTCCAGGAGTTAGCCCCTGGGGAGGAAAGGAGACTACGAAGAGAAGTCAGGGAGAGAGTAGCAGCGAGGAGGATTAGGGACGCAGCAGCCAGCTTAGCGGTTGCGATGGCTACCGCAGCCTCTACGTCACAAACCTCTTCCCAGACCTCTTCGTCAGGAGCAGGGCAGGGTGGATCGAGTGCAGTTAGTCAGTCTGCTGGCTTACAAGTCAGCCAGCAGAGTCCACTCACACCTGAGGATTTAGAAATCCAACAGGCAGAAGAACTTCAGGATGAGCTGCAGCGGCAGTTGGACGAAGCAGCAGAGAGGAGAAGGAGAGCAATCCTGAGAAAAGCTAGACTAGGAAGTAAAAGAGAGGAGCTAGGCAGACTGGAAGGCCTAGATGAGGCGGCATTAGACCCCGCTGTTCGTGTACTGCGTAATGCTTTACTATCGGTGGCAGAAGCCCAGAATGTCCAGCAAGAATTGCTGGCCGAATTGGTAGCAGGCCAGAAACAAATCCTGGCTGAACTTCGGGCTCCTCGTACGATGATGAGGCAGCCACAGTTTGCTGTAGTTCCCCCTGTGGGTGCGGGTCCTTCATCGACGCTGCAACACACAGGGCCAACTTTCTCTCCTATGTTTGGCATACCCCCTCCAGGTGGTTTAGTAGCAACTAGTGGTCCGGTTCTTAGAGTCTTAGTCGTACCATCCACGACAGTGGTCACTACAGTCCCACTGTCAAGCCAGGCCCAGGTTATTGTGCAACAGCCTGTTTCAGTGGCTATGCAGCCGCTGCAGCAAGCCCCTGGGCCCATGCAGCCTATGCAGTGGATGCCCAAAATACCTTTGATGAGTCCCAAACCCTTCTCTGGCGATAGGAAGAAGGAAGAAGACTTAGACACCTGGGTGAGGAGTGTGCCTACTTATGTGAGGCACAAGCTCACCAGGCCAGAGCAGGAAGTTGTAGTGGCTGCCTCCTTTTTAGAGGGGTCAGCAGCCCGCTGGTTGAATGGCTTAGTGCAGCAGCAGGGCTACGGTCAAAACTTCGATGCCTCGGCACAAGCCCAGACATTGGAAGAGTTCGTACGGTCCGTGTACAACAGGTGGCATGACCCGCAAGGGGCTCAGAAGGCCATCGATGCTATCAACAGTCTTTATTCCCGCAGGTTCAAGAATGTTAGAGAACTAACGGACACCGTAGAACGTTTACTCGTGGTACCTGGTGTGCGTTTTGACCAGCAGGTTCTCCTGACTGATTATCTAAGGTGTGCCTACCTGCAGAGGTAAGGACCAAGCTGGTTGATGAGGCCTATGTCGAACAGCACACCTTCGCTTCTTTTAGTAAGAAAGCTCAGGATATAGAGGCAAAATTGGGATCTGCACATCAGAGTCAGGGAGATGGTAGGAAGAAGAGACTCCCCCAAGACTGGAAGAAGAAAGGGCAACTAATGTTCGTCGACCATGATGGTCAGGCGACTGAAATTGACGACTTCACAGACTTGGGAGAAGAGACAGAGCATGATGGGGCTAGTGAGACTTCGGATGGGAGAGTCGTAGCACCCATCAAGGAAAAGGCTAGGGGGACCGGGAAGAAGAAGGTAGTACGGTCCACGGGTCAGGGCGACCAAGGAACACCCGCATGGGTAAAACTTGGTTTAGAGTATGAGGTGTGGAGGGGCCGAGTTG